GCTTATCGAATGTTTACCCCAGATAAAGTTGAAATTCGGTTCCTTTTCTTTGCATCCCCATCGTGCTGCTTCATTATATTCTCCATAGAAATGCAAAAGAAGATAGTCCTCAATCTCGTGCTGCTACGATGGTTTGGGTACGTGCTGTGAATGCCTCTAGAAAGGAAGGCTAAGCAACTGTTTCATGCCAAACCGACCGACAGATGGTCCAGGGGACGGCCAAGTATATCCTAGTGCAAACATATGGAAGGGATCTGTTGAAGACTCCAGTTGTCTTATGCCGAAGCTCAGACTCGGGCACATGATCTGGAACGTTGGAAGCCCTGTCAGACGCGTCTACCTCTGCGACCCGAAAGGAAAAGCGGTATTGGACGATGAAAATGATATTTTACATTATGCCATGATTATAAATTGCAAGGGCAATTCAACAACTGAAAGAACATAAAAATTAAGAAACTGAAACGGTCTTCTAAACCGACAGGAGCGATGAAATTTAGGCGATATAATAAAAAAAGTGGATTCTAATCCTTAGGTGTTATTTGCCCTTCGTTTTTCTGATGCAAATAAGTCAATATCATTATTTTGTATGGAAAGATGAAAAGCACCGCTTACCTGCCACAAAGCGGAAAAATTGCCTTTCTAAAGAAAACACTTTTGGTTAATGACTTTGAAACGGAAATAGAAAGCGCAGCCGTATATTCCGCTGAAATAAGGCGTTACCAATGAACCAATCAATGTAAGAGAAGCCATTATCCTAAGTTAAGAACTTCATTTTTGCTTCGGAAACATTTAGAGGTTAGTGCTCAACCTCGTCTCGAAAGTTCGTACAGTTTTCCGCTTTGCGTGTGCAAGGTTGTGCAAAAATGTTTACATCAATACTTAGTAGAATTGGTACTGTCTATATCGTCCACAAAAGGTCTGTTCTACAGCTTCCTGTAGGCAATTGATACAAAATTCATTCAAACTACAAGCTTAAAGATTTTTAAAATGCTTAATAGTGATGCATTCTCACCTTTGCGTTAGAGTCTCGTAACGCAGCTTTCGTGTTGCTGTTATCGAACGCATTTAGCATGTCTATGGCAGAGAGATCTTTTCCTTGCTCATCTTCTAGCCATCTTCGCTGTTCATAAATATTGTCCTTCGTCCAATCTGTAACGTACACGTCGCTGATCGTTTTTCCTTCTATCAAAGCGCAGAGAAACGCCAATCCGCCACCGACATTTAAAAATCTAGATTCTCTGTACGCCAAGGTCGGCTTTGTCAAGCGCTCTATGATGTTGCACAACGTTGTCAGGTAAAACTGCACCAAGTCCTTTTGTTCAGACTTGTCTTCGGTCTCGTAAACGTCGTACGCTTTTGAATAGTCGTCAACAGCGTCAAGCTTCAACAAGCGATTGAAAGCTCGAAACGATGGCAGACGTTGTGCCATGATCTGAGATTCCGGGATAAACGACTGCTTGTCTTCAAACGAACTTACCTCTAAAAGTCACTCATTATTTAACAGACAAAATTCGTCAAAGTAATGACCGTGCAGCAAAACCTCACCCTTCATCAAAAAAGGATCACTCTCCTACTGACAGGCCCATTTGTTTACCTATATTTACTAAGCATTTTTTCATTCACACCGAACTATACATTTTGCAAAATTATATGTTTCTCTGTATTAAAAGCATGAAGCTCGTTAAATTTTAAGTTTACCGCGCTTCATACTGGTGCAACTTTCCGTAAATCCAGAATCAGCATTTCCATAGCAAAAATGGCGCAATGTTCAATACAAAAATTCATGGCCATGATGAAGTACGGTGACGGTAAAGATAGTTTCCTTGGTGGCGAAGACCTGTCATGATACCAGGCTAGCGACGGAATGATGATTCGGCTCTGACGAACCCTTTAATTTTTAAGGCAATTCTTTATAGTCAAAGAACGGCAGTTAGCAGTTTCTAATAGCTAACCGAGTTGAAAGAATCAATAGCTACTGTTATTCGTATTCTGAACAAGTCAGCGAGAGTCCCTTTCATAATACTGCCTACTCTCTCAATGAAAAATGACGCATATTCATGAGTGGACGGACTAAATATCCGGCAATTGCATGATTGATGTTATCTAGAAATGCAGAGAAAAACTGCATTCATCGTATAATCATTAAAGTGATCAAGAAGTGGTACGTCAAAGTATATACGCTGTTCAGGCCTGCTTAATGAGGTCGTAATCGTTCTGAATCGCGGATAACATTTGTCATTATGCATTATTGATATGAGGTAAATTTAACACATATTTTGCTAGGTAATAATAAAGCTTAATGTCATTATTTGCGCTGATCATTTCTCTGGTACTTAGCGAGACTTACCATATTAACAAAATTCAGCTAACAAATGACTCCTCCAAGATCAGATTTCACAGCGTATTTGAAAGCCTT